GTAATATAATTTTGAGTTTTCTTAAGAAAATCTTACATTTATATGGACACAAGTTCAGACTGATTATTTAAACGAAGTGTTAATTAATCATGATAAATGTTTACAGTGATTTCTTACAGTCCAGCAACAAGAAGAAGAGAAGATATTTTCATAATGTCTGTAAGAAGCAGAGCAAATGGCCTTCACGGCTTCAGCTGGCAACACTCATCTTCTTTTCCTTTCTGACTGTGGCTTATCTAAGTTCACTCTGACTTACTAACACGAACGCCTTAGAAAGACAAAGCAGTCTTCTTCCTGGATGCGAGACAGGAGGACAAAGCTGAATCTCTCCGGAGAAACAGCTGGGCCTCAGGCTTCACCCATCAGCTAAATAGGGTGACCTGAAGTCCAGGACAAAGGCAAGCCGCCTTCATGTCCATCTGGAGACATACGTCTCTTTAAAGTGTTTTTATCTCCCGAGGGAGACTTTTATTTTGAAAGACGACCGAACCACAGCTGGAATCTCTCTRGCCAGGCTGAAGCGGACTGAGAGTCACCTAAATGACACCTTCTCGCCAAGGACCAGTTCTGGACAAGCTTCCTGAAGGGTCATGGGGAGACAGTCCACACCAGGGGTGTTTTAAGCATACATCTCCAGGTAACACTGACGTGTTGAGGGTGACGTGTCAAGTGGAAGCTGAGAGCTCAGAGGGGATGTGCTGAATCCGGTTGTAAATCTTTCAAAATTAAAACAGAAACACTAACTCTTAATTTCCTTACCTTTTCTTACCTTAATCCTTTGCCAACCCCTAAGTGAAGTGCCAGCAAATCATTAGTTTTAACATCAGAACTGACGTTTTACTGTTTATACATAGGTAATCTGGGTTTTAATGTGAAGGAAATTCGGAAGCGAGTTTTACCTCATTTTAACCTAGACGCTTGTTATAAATAACCCACAATTAGGTGTAATTTATGATTTTGTTCAATTTGTGTAAATAAATGATTGCATAATCTTTTATGAATCAACTTGAACAGTCTGAGTTCCCTCATTGTGTCACTTCCCTTTGCACAGACAAATATTAAAGTAATGAGGAAACCTTGGTAAAAATTTACTCTCCTAACTTTGTTACGAGAAGATGTAAGGTAAATTATTTGCATAAATAACTCATCTCTTACATGTGAAACCAAATCAAGAATTAAATTGAAGGAAATTACTTCTGTTTAACAGTGATTTTTAATGCTCGACACATTCTTGGTTTGACCTGGAGAACTAGGTCATTTGATGAGAACCTACTTGTGGAATTCTCTATTTTTAGGATGAAACTGTGATAAACTGATGTTCAATCTGCTTTGAATGACTCATGTCAGCTCAAGTCAAACAGAATGGACATCTGTCATGAGAAAATTCAATGAAGAAAACCCACAGAGCTGAAGGTGAAAACTGATGTTTAATATTTAAACCAGGAAAAGTTCTTTAAAAGGTTCAAACAAGCAGAAAACAGGTTTTAGTTCTACAAAGGTTTTTTAGATGTTTGGAAAGAAAAAATTCAAAACAGATGTGTTTAATTTGAACTTTAGAAATGAAGGAAACATTTCTAAATGAATAAATTGTGAAGGATCAGTGAATGATTTTAGTTGGACAAACATAGAAAACCTCCAACAGCTGCAGTGAACTGACCTCAGAACCTCCAGTCTACAATTTGGACTCTCCAGGAAACCACACACATCCTTCCCTCCAGAGTCATACAGGTTGTTGTAGCCCAGGTTCAGTTCAGTCAGATGGGAGGGGTTGGACTTCAGAGCTGAGACCAGAGAAGAACAGCTGATCTCTGACAATCTGCAGAGCTCCAATCTGAATAAAGAATAAAAGCTGTGAGCTGAAGGTTCAAACTGAAATCTGAACTAAATGATTGAAGTGGACAGAATTAGTTTTACTGGATGTCAGAGAYAMAAAAACACAATCAATTCAAGGCCTAGCATTCCTTGAAGAAATGCATATCACCGCCACCTTTCATCCCACAGTTTGACACTAAGATCATCTTCACACTAAGATCATCTTCTGATGATAAAGTTGGAGCGTTTTGGTCAAACCTTGGAGATCAGCTCCTGAAGGATCTCAGTTGATATTCTGAGTTGAAATTAAGATTTAAAAGAGAAATCCTTTAATGATCTGATTTTCTTTATTCTTATAACAAAACAATTCATTTACTGTTAAACTGAAACAAGTAAATAGTCAAAACTCATATTTTTTACACAAATTAGTTCAAAACTTAAAATCCTGTTTTAGTCAAACCTGGTTTGATTGAAGTCAAACTTTATTTGTATCAAATGCTTCCTGCAGAGCAGCTCAGTTTGTTTTCCATCAAGAATAAAAGCAGTTAAAAACACATGAAACAGCACGTGCACTAACATAATTCATTAAACAACACAGAGAGAAAAACTGCAGCACAGCAGAATCAGAAAAGAATCAAACTACAGAGAAAAACTGGACCTGACCTCAGGGGGTCAAAAACACAGAGCAGGTCTGACAAGAACAAGGATTTTAGATTCTGACCCAGATCTGATCTAAGGTGGTCCAAATGTTCAAAATGGCTGAAATCTCCCTTTAACTTCTGAGCCTGCTGCTGGAATCAGAAGTTAACTTCAGGTGGTCCTGAGGGGAGACAATGGGCTCGTTTCACAAAAATCAGATTTATTAATCTAGGATATCAGCTGTAAACTGAGCTCTGAGACAGAAAACAAAACTGCGTTGTTCTGGTCAATCTGTAGAAGATGATATTAATATATTTATTCTGTGATATTTTAATACAAACTGGATCAGGTCCAGGTTAGTTTCAGAGGACTTGTTACTTCTGCCCGTTTGTCCATTTTCTGCCGCTTATCCAGGGTCGGGTCGCGGGGGCTGTAGCCTAAGCAGAGAGACCGAGACTTCACTCTCCCCAGCCCCTTGGGCCAGCTCCTCCGGGGGAATCCCATGGCATTCCCAGGCCAGTCGAGAAACCTAGTCCCTCCAGTGTGTCATGGGTCTTCCTCTGGGCCTCCTCCCAGTGGGACATACCCGGAATACCTCACCAGGGTGGCGTCCAGGAGGCATCCTAACCAGACGAACCACCTCAACTGGCTCCTCTGGATGTGGAGGAGCAGCGGCTCTTCTCTGAGTCCCTCCTGGGTGACTGAGCTTCTCACCCTCTCTCTAAGGGAGAGCCCAGACACCCTGCAAAGGAAACTCATTTCGGCCGCTTGTAACCGCAATCTCATTCTTTCGGTCACTACCCAAATTTTGTGACGATAGATGAGGGTAAGAACATAGACCGACTGGTAAATTGAGAGCTTCGCCTTCTGGCTCAGCTCTCTCTTTATCACGACAGACCGGTACAGTGCCCACATCACTGCAGAGGCAGCACCAATCCGCCTGTCGATCTCCCGCTCCATTCGTCCCTCATCCATGAACAAGACCCTGAGAAACTCATCCACTTGGGGCGGGACATCCTCCCTGACCCAGAGAAGGCACTCCACCCTTTTCTGTCTCAAGACCATGGTCTCTGATTTGGAGGCACTGATCCTCATCACGGCCGCTTCACAGTTGGCTGTGAACCGCTCCAGTGAGAGCTGGAGATCAGGACCTGATGAAGCCAAATAGGACCATATCATCTGCAAAAAGCAGAGGTGATCATAAGGTCACCAAAACGGATCCCCTCAACACCTTGGCTGCACCTAGAAATTCTGTCCATAAAAGTTATGAACAGAATCAGGGACAGAGGGCAACCTTGGCGGAGTCCAACTCTCACCGGAAACAAGTCCGACTTACAACCGGCAATGCTGACCAAGCTCTGGCACCAGTCTTACAGGGATCTAAAAGCCCATTTCAATGGGCCTGGTACCCCATACTCCCAGAGTACCCCCCACGTCGCAGAGGGACACGGTCGAACGCATTCTCCAAGTCCAGAAAACACATGTAGATTGGTTGGGCAAACTCCCATGCACCCATCAGGACCCAGCTGAGGGTGTAGAGCTGGTCAGCTGTTCCACGACCAGGATGAAATCCACACTGCTCTTCCTGAATCCGAGATTCAACTATCCAATGGACCCACCTCTCTAGGACCCCTGAATAGACCTTACCAGGGAGGCTCAGAAGTGTGTTCCCCCTACAGTTGGAACACACTCTGCGGACCCCCTTTTCAAATAGGGGGACACCACCCTGTTCTGCCAATCCAGGGGAACTGCCCCCAATGTCTATGCAATATTGTAGAGTCGTGTCAACCAACACAACCCCACAACATCCAGAGCCTTAAGGAACTCTGGGCGAATCTTATCCATCCCCAGTGCCTTGCTACCGAGRAGCTTTTTAACCACCTTGGTGACCTCAGCACCAGAGATTGGAGAGTCCAACCCAGGGTCATCAGGCTCTGCTTCCTCATGGGAAGATATGTCGGTAGGATTGAGGAGGTCTTCGAAGTATTCCACCCACCAACCCACAACGTCCCGAGTTGAGGTCAGCAGCGCACCATCCCCACCATAAATAGTGTTGTTGGGTTGGTGGCAACCCACCCTTCCACCCTGAGATGCCAGATGGTGGACCAGAATCGCCTAGAAGCCATATGGAAGTCTTTTTCATGGCCTCTCTAACTCCTCCCACGCCCGTGTTTTTGCCTCAGCGACCACCCAAGCCGCAATCCGCTTGGACTTCCGATAACTATCGGCTGCTTCCAAGCCTAACAGCATCCCTCACCGCCGGTGTCCACCAGCGGGTTTGAGGGTTGCCGCCACAATAGACAGACACACACAACAGACCTTATGGCCACCGCTCAGGTAAGCCGCCTTAACAATGGAGCTACGGAACATGGCCCACTTGGACTCAATGTCCCCCACCTCCCCTGGAATGTAGTCAAAGTTATCCCGGAGGTGTGAGTTGAATTTTCGTCTGACGGGAGACTCTTACAGATGTTCCCAGCAGACCCTCACTATACGATTGGGTCTGCCAGGTCTGACCAGCATTCTCCCCCAACAACAGAGCCAACTCACCACCAGGTAGTGGACAGTTGACAGCTCCGCCCCTCTCTTCACCCGAGTGTCCAAAACATGTGGCCGCAGATCAGATGAAACAACAACAAAGTCAATCATCGAACTGCAGCCTAGGGTGTCCTGGTGCCAAGGGTACATATGGACACCCTTATGCTTGAACATGGTGTTCGTTATGGACAATCCATGACGAGCACAGAAATCCAATTACAAAACACCGCTCAGGTTCATATTGGGGGGGGGGGCGGTTCCTCTCAACCACGCCTCTCCAGGTCTCACTGTTATTACTCACGTGAGTGTTTAAGTCCCCCAGCAGAACGAGGGAGTCCCTGTTAGGAGCGCTCTCCAGCACCCCCTCCATGGACTCCAAAAAGGGTGGGTAATCTGAACTTATGTTAGGTGCATAGGCACAAACAACAGTCAGGACCTATCCCCCCACCCGTAGGTGGAGGGAAGATACCTCTCATTCACCGGGGTGAAACCCAACGTGCAGGCACCAAGATGGGGGGCAATAAGTTTGCCCACTCCTGCTCGGCACCTCTCAGCATGGGCAACTTCAGAGTGGAAGAGTGTCCAACCCCTCTCGAGGAGAGTGGTTCCAGAGCCAGAGCGGTGTGTAGATGTGAGTCCAACTATATCTAGTTGGAACCTCTCAACCTCACACACCAGCTCAGGCTCCTTCCCCACCAGAGAGGTGACATTCCACATCCCTAGAGCCAGCTTCTGTAGCCGAGGATCGGATTGCCAAATTCCTCGCCTTCGACCACTGCCCAAAACACATTGCACCCAACCCCTCCCACCCCTCCCACAGGTGGTGAGCCCATGGGAAGGGGGACCCATGTCTCCTCTTCAGGTTGTGCCCGACCGAAATCCATGGGTGAAAGCCCAGCCACCAGGCACTTGCCAATGTGCCCCACCTCCAGGCCTGGCTCCAGAGTGGGGCCCCGGTGACCCAGGTCCAGGCAAGGGAACACTGAATCTATCCATCGTATTCATCATAGGGTTATTAGGGCTGCATTTTGTCTGATCCCTCACCTAGGACCTGTTTGCCTTGAGTGACCCTACTGAGGACATGAAGCCCCCGAGAACATAGCTCCTAAGATCATTGGGACGCTCAAACCTCTCCACCACGATAAGGTGTGTAGCGTTTTCCTCCTTCAATTTATGACTTTTGGTGGATATAACTTGTGTTATGATTGTTTTGGGAAAGAAATCAGACCTAATCATTTCAGACTTTTGTTTAAGGATCTGGCATGATCCTTTGTGCTTCGACTTAGCATATCAACAGTCACCATGGCGCCTCAGAAGACAACTGGAAGAATTTACATTGCCACAAGGCTCTGTTTTCACACCTCCATAAGGAATGCCTCTTTTCTTCAAAGGAAAGGGGGTTGTCATAAATTCTTCTGCCAGAACCCTTCCAGCATGACTGAGAACAAGAGGAAGGCCACATGCCTGATTAAATAAAAGGGGAAAACTACTCTGTTCTTTTTTTAACTGTTTGCCACGAAGAACAATGGGCCTCATGCAAGAACCGTTCGTACGCACAGATTTGTTCTTAAGTTGTGCGTACGAGT